GCGGGCGGGGCCAGGGCGCCGGAGCAGAGCCACGGGGTCCGCACCCCGGCGGGATGGGAGGGGCAGGGGGCCGAGCACCGGCAGGGCTGGGGGGCATTCCCTTTCCCGCTCTCCACCCCGCCCCCCGCTCTTTTTTGAAACTATCCCCCAGTTCCTGCAGCCGATCCCACCCACATCCGCTGCTCGGGAGTTTTAGGTGCACACCGCTGTGGATTCAGACGCTTGAACCTAACGCCAATGTTGGGCTGCGTAGTGCAAGCCAAGAGGGTGGGTGCAAAAGCGTGGGTGCCTGTGCAGATGAGGGGACAGCCCCTCTTTCAAGGTCAGCGGGGTGCAGGGTGGTTCCTTCAAGTTCATTTATTTTGGGCTGAAATGGACTTCCCGGCTCTTGTTGCAAATGACACAGTCCCAGAAATGGAAGCTCAGAGGGCCAACCAAGTCTTTCTTGTTAATTTCAAACTACTGCGTATATAGTTCGATGCACACCCTTCTACAGGCAGGGTTCCTTCTTTCATCTGCTCTGAGCTCTCCTCCTTAACAAGTCTCATCTTGAAGGATGTGTCCTAGGATAGCTCACTCCTAGGAGGGCAGGTCTATGATGGCTGTGACACGGTGATAGAACTGCCTCAAAGGAAAGCTAGAGCGCAAGCCCAGAGCCTTCCCCTTATCTCGCATCCACACAGCCTAGGGCCCCACCTAATGTTAAGACCTGCTGACAGTGGAGAAATTGATCTTCATCCTCTTTATGAGGACAAATTCTTCACAACAGTCTGCCCCTTTCCCTGTGCCTGTAAGAAAGATCAACCTGGTTCCACATCAAAGGACGTGGAGCAGAATGTCTTTTTGGTTGGGTGAACATTTTCCTTTAAGGAAGACTGCAGTAGCTAAGCTACAAACCGAGCCCAGCGGCCATGACTGCAATTTTCCCTTAAGGCCATTTTGTCAAGAGTTTTTGATCTTTCGGAGAGTGTCTGTGTTATCAGAAGCCAGTCTGCTGGATTTGTCAAGCATGATATCAACAAATATTTTATTATGGAGCTAACCTAGACCTTATCTAATAAATACAGATGTCCACAGAAACGTTCTATTAGCTTACCCTACAAGGCACATGTGTCAGCTAAAATGTTTGCCATCTTAAAAAAAGGACTTCTTTTGTGTGTTCCTCAGGGCCCAAGTTTGTCATTACCATGTCACACATTAAAAATACCCAAAAGGAACATGGCGCATACACAACTCAATAATATTGGGCTTCAACCTAAAGCAAATATGAAAAATATTTGAGACAGTTATAACTTAGTAATAAAACTGACCTAGGATAGCTGCCAGCATGGCTGAAGGCCAATCTTATGGACATTGTATCACAGTAATATTCACAATGTTGAGGCTGCTGTTAGCAGAAAATAATGTCTAGTTAGAGGTGAAAACTAAAAACGGGCTTAAGCTGAAATGCCAGTTTCAAACCCCACTGACAAACTCACAGGAAAATCCAGATGCCGATGATAAATTGATTCCTGGGCTCATGTCTAGTAAATAGTACTATATCACTAACTCAGTTTGTATCAGACCTCTACATTTAACATATTCTTGATTAGCACTGTTTTCAATTGTTATGTCTACCGTTTACCAGAAAGCCTGTATACAAAGCAGTTTTCAACCCTTAATAATATTCACAGCAGCATGAATTAGAACAGCACCCTCTCCCAACACCAATTATGGCAGAAGGAATGTGTTTTGAGAAGAAAGTGTTTTGCACTGACATTTTGTTGTCAAAGGCTTGTGCACCAAGATAAATATATCCCCAGAGTGGTGCTTAAACTATCAAAGAATTAAACTTTTATCCGCATGGCTGCTTAAAACTAGCTTGCCACTGCTTTTTCAATTAAATGGTGGTGTACAGTTCAATGTGAGCAGCTCAGTGCTTATCTCCCTCCTAAGCCTGACTGGGACACACAAAACAGGCCTTCTTCTACCTGAGTCCCAAGAGTGACCAATATAGTAGTTACTCTCAGAAAACAACTGCTACAGACTCACTACTAAACATAGGTGTACTATCTCAAGTTTCTTTCCACTGATGTATGAAGCAGTCACAGTTTTCAGATGTAAAGGATAGCATAGCAGGATTGCCTAAAACTAATTGGCAATGAAGGCAGAACATATATTGAGTAAGAAAAATCTATTGTTTTCTCATGGGTGTGAAAACAGTCAATTGCAGGTATTTTTAATGTATATTTCATTTAAACAGGGTTTTGGTGTTTTGGTTTCACAGTTAAATACAGAAAACATACCAATCCAGAGCTACAGAAATCCTTGTAGCTTTCAGCTGAATGTTAAGACCCATTCAAAGAGATCATTTATGTTATATTTGGTATATATGAAAATATAAATGAAATATTCTACATTATGTATTCATTTCACCATGATAGGGTTCAAGAGAAGTTGGTACCATCTGTTTCGCCATCTTCCAAAACAGTTCAGTATTTATCAGTTTAGAAGAAAAAAAAAATCACCACTTCTGAAAACAAAGAGAGTTTTATACCTTGGGAAGGAAAAATATCATTAGCAGAAGTAAGAGGTATAAAAAGAAAAACAGTGGTAACAAATTTACTAATATCAGCTTATTATGTGAGTGGGAAATATACACTTATGTTCAGCTCTGCAGATTTTTTTTCTTCTTTTGCTGTGCACCTCCCAATTTTTGTTTCTTGGGCATCACATGCTTTTCTACTTTTGTTGATTTATCAGAAGTATCAGACCAACAAACTTTCCTTTTCCTGGTAATCAGTGGCTGCTCATCTTCATTTGCTAAAACAAACAGAAAAGTATTCATATAGGATTATTTGTACAGTCAACATATTGAATCTCCATTGTGTCTGTTAGCACAATGTGCATATTTACATCACCCCATTTTGACAAACTGAAACTGCATGAGCTACATACTATATTTACTTGCATAACACATGGACCCCAATTTTTGACAGGTAGTTTTTAGAAAAAGGTGAGTTTTAGGCAAGGAAGCTGACTGCATACTGGGAAGGATGTATGGGAATCCTGGAATGGCTGCTGGGGTTGTGCTCCCTTCCCAGCCATAAGTAGGAAGGATAGAGTTCACTCCTCAGGAATCATTCACCCTTTCCTTGCAGTTCCACAGCTAAAGGTTTAACCCTGTTAGAGCCACTGCCTTAGTGCCAGTAATTTTTGGCCGTGCCAATTCAGCAGTGCCTGTAACAGGTTTAAATAAATCTTTAGAAGTGGAGCTGCAAGGAGAAGGTAAGTGACAAGTTCCTGTTGCATGTGGCTAATAACCAGTCACGGTAAGCCCACACTGTGGCAGGTAAGATTCTGGAAACATCTTTTTCTCTTCATTCTGCCTTTCTAGAACAAGATGAATGTCCTACCTGGGGGCATATGGTATGCAAGGAAATACAGTCTTCAATTTTGGGGGGAGATGAGGAGTGGGCTAAATGCTCATTTTTCATGTAGTGTTTACACTTTTGAAGAGCAAACTAATGTATTTAAACAGATGATCACACATGAGAGCAGAATGAAAATATACTGGTCCATATTTTCTACGCTAGGCCAATGCTTAGCTATAAAAGGTCTGTCTGCATGTAAGATATGCACACAACTGACAAGCTTGTGACCTATTAGACAGCCATCCTTAGCATCCCTCCAGTTAAGAGCAGTATCCTCAGAGCCTGAGCATTTTACTTTACATAAATGTCACTCTACTGATTCTTAGTTTAAAATGATTACAGTAGGATATAGAGAACTAATATGTTGCTCAGCTTGGAATATTTCAGTAATTAAGTCTGTAAGGATGTTGTTGTACCCTAAAAAGGTGTTATAGTCTAAGATGGAAATACTTTAAAGAATTATGTTTAAATGTCTACTTCTGTTTTGAAAGGTGATTTCTGCAAATGCCACTGTAGGAGTTATTTAATGGTCTCTGTCAACTCTACTCAGTTTACAAGCAAGGCTTTTTCTCTAGCTGCCAACCTAGGATCCAACAAGCACACAAAGCTCTTTTGTGCCCACTGCATCATCATAGTGATAAACATACTGCAGGCCAATGTTTGCTCCTTTCAATTGCTTTAAAGTCACAACTGATTGGAATTTGGCAAACAAATTCTGTTAACTCTTGCAAAAGAAAGAGAATAATCTAATTTACCCTCTCCGGTATGCTCTACTTCCTCACCAGTGAAAAATAAATAGGGTTATGAATAGAATAATTTCAGTTACCACAGGATGAGGTTTCAGCTTTGTCAGAGTTTTCTTTAGTTTCTGAATCTCTGTCCAACCATACTGCCAGACATGTAAGCCTCGCTTTAGTATTGACTTCACACAGTAAAGATGGAGCATCCTGGATCTGAGAAAAAACAAACAGATTAATTCAAACTTATTTCAATATAGCTTAACATAGGCTTAGATTACTTTTTTAAAAGGTATTTTATATGCCTAATTCCCACTGATATTACAGGAAGCTAAGGGGCTACACATGTAAGAAGTAAGCCCATAACTTGTACAACATCCTGCTCACAACTCAACTTTTATCTTTGGTTTTGTAAACTGTCAGGGAGAGAGTTCCTTTAGGGACAAGCCTCGACAAGCAAAATGTGCTTTTCATTAATATTAACTCAACTCAGGTAATTTAATGTTACTGAAGCACCGTTAG